ATTGACTTTGTAAATTTTGTGAATTTACCCAGCTAGACTATCTAGGTATGTATTCTAAATTTAGTCAGGATTTTTTATATCCCAATTTTAGGTAAAATACATTAACTGATTCCTTTGGAAACAGTGTTGACCTTCATGAGATTTTGCTGTTGGTTTTGGTTTTTAAAAATAGGTTTCACCATGTAGCCCAAGCTGGCCTCGCACTGTTGTGATCCTCCTCCCTTAGCTCTCAAATGCTAGGGTTACAGGTGCGCACCACTGTGTCCAGCCTTCCTCATTTCCTGCAAAGGTTGGTGCAGCATTGTGTGATACCTGTGCTAACAGGATAAAAGCTGCCAAACACAGCTCTGCTGTCTCAGTGTTCAGAACCAGGCAGTGTTCTCTGGTTCACAGTTCCATTTTGAATCCATTGTTAGTGAATTAATAGCAAAACTAATGCAAATGGGTGTTTTAAAAATAGGGTTTTTCCCAAGGCCAAACTCAGCTACATCAGAGTTCAAGGCCATATTGGACTACAGAGTGAGACCCTATCTCAAAAAAAAAAGGTTTTCTAATTTGATTCCTACTACTCACATTTACACAAAATGTTTTATAAAATGTGGTTGCCACTTGACACCTCTTTTAATGTGGCTAGATGCCTCCGTAAAATCATAGGTTTAAATTACCGGAGGTTCAGGGGATGGGGTTCATACCTGTAATCCCAGCACAATGGGGGTGCTGAGGCATGAGGGCAATTTAAGCCCAGGCTAGACAACCTAGGGACTTTGTCCAGACCTTGTGTCACAATTTCATCTTATTTATTTTGGGTTTTTGAGACAGGGTCTCACTATGCAATTCAGGCTGGCCTTGAAATAACTATGTAGCCCAGGCTGGCCTTGAACTCATGGTGATCATCCTGCCTCAGTCTCAAGTGTTGGGATTACAGGTGTGCACCACCACTGTTTCAAATGTTTTAAAATGGGGTAAGGATGCAGCTTGGTGCAGATGCCCTGGGTTTAATCTCTCGTACTGCAAAAAAAAAAAAAAAAAAGAATACCAGAGGTGTATACCAGCTCTCCTAGACAGAAAAGCTTCTTGTCCTGCTCACTTGTCCGTAAAATAGGGGATGTAGCTCAGTGGTAGAGTCCTTGCCTAGCATGTGAGAGATCCTTGGGTCTAATCAGCAGCACCACACACATACAACAGCAGTTTAAGAGCAGTACTTGACCAGCTGGGCGTGATGGTGCATACCAACATTGAGATGGCTGAGGTGGGAGGATCTGAGGCGAGAGGGTCTTTTTGCGTTTGAGGTCAGCCTGGGCTACAAAGTGAGCTCAAGGCCAGCCTGAACTGCACAGTAAGACCCTGTCTCAGAAAACAAAAGGAGCAGTACTTGATCGTCCTAATGGATATTTTGTTTTTCCTCTCAGTGTATTCCACAACAGAAAAATGACAGTGACTGTGGAGTCTTTGTGCTCCAGGTAAAGATATTTTTTTTCAGAATTTGCAATGTATGAATTGTTTGCTGGATTCAAGAAGACATGTAAGCTTCTGTGTGTGCACTGATCCCAGATCCAGGCAGCAGAATCCTTTTCTTTTGCTATCTTCCCTCATTGCTGAGGCACAGTTCTGACCTTCCCAGTGGCCTGTAGGAAAAACCAGCTCCCCTGGCCACGGATGAGCAATGAGTATCAGTCTTAGCATGTCATTTGCAAGACAAATGACACTGGAGAGGGACTGGCATCCGTATCACAGGCATTGGCAGAGTTTACCTTTTTTAAAAAAAGACCATCTGCAGACAACCTGCAAGTCTTTGCATAATGAGATTTTAAATAAGTGCCACATTCAGAAACACCCACACTATGCTGAACGTCCCCTGGTAGGTCTACAGGCGCTATGGAAAAATTTCTATTACACATGTATTTATGATCTGTGAGTTTAACAATTTGCAAAGACCCAGGAGGGAAGGTTCATTTACAAATCTCATGAATATTGAGGTTTGTGGGCAAATTCACGCCAGTTCCAGCTGCCCTGTCAGCAGCAGGCACACGTCATGGGGCACAGAGCCTCTTTCTTCAGCATGCTGTCCGGAAGGAGTGAGGCAGGGCAGTGCCCTGCTAGCCACTTGCCTGCAGAGCTAACTAACCTGGAGGTGAATGCTTTAGAACACTGTTTTTGCAAGTTTGCACAGACTGTGTAATGCTGCCCTAGACTGTGGGCTCTGCCTCTGCCACCAGCTGGCGCACAGCCCCACGCACCCACTTACACATTTCTGGGGCTTTTGCAGTACTGCAAGTGCCTCGCCTTGGAGCAGCCTTTCCAGTTTTCGCAAGAAGACATGCCACGCGTACGCAAGCGGATCTACAAGGAGCTGTGTGAGTGCCGGCTCCTAGACTGAGGTCAGCGAGGACACACAAAGCCTGATCGTGTTGGAGCAGATGGTTTGTTACTTGAATCTCCACTTACTTGGATTTTTACAGATATTTCAGATCAGTGGTATTGGGCCACTATTGTTACCTCAAATTTATTTTGCCCTTATTAATTTCTCCAGCTACCATGTATTTTTTAATGTTCATTTTGGTCTCATTTTTAATTTTGTGGATTCCGTGTGTTCCTCCCATATTTAATATTTATTATCCAAGCGCATGCGTATAGACAGAGCATGCAGTGAAGAGTATTATTAAAAAAAAAAAAGCCTAGTAGATTTGGTGCAACTTTTGAAACTTAGTTAGACGTGAACTGAATACAGGTTTAACTTTTAATTCCAGACTCTAAAGATGCAAGTTGTTTTTGATACAGCATAACTCAGAGTAGCAGGTGCTTCTTGGGCCCTAAAGAGTAGTGAGAAGTGGGCCACAGAGCCAGCAGTTAATCTGCCATCAGAACCGTGGGCTGCTTCCCTCTGGGACGCGGAGGTGGCTGGCTGGTTGCCTGTGGGGGGCTCTTGGCAGCACAGCGCCTCCTTTGGGGTGAGTCAGAGTATGAGTAGAAAACAACATCCTAGGTGCCAGTTATCTTAATGAATGAGCTTTTAGTCTTGGTCTTGGGAATTACAGTCCATGGCCTGAAGCTCATAAAGGCCTTTGCTGAGACATTGAATTCCCTGGATTTTTGTTTTTGACTTGTGGAAAAATGTAGCAGGTATCACACTAGTGGTCAAACACATGAGAACTCAGCCTTTCTAGAAATAATTTGAAAGTTGTTGCTTCACTTATGTGGCCTTTCATGTGGAAGAAATTAAAATTTACCAACGATGTTTGTGCCTCTGAAACACAAAATTCAGAATTGTAGTTTGAGCATGTCTTTTGTAGGGACACAGAGAGAAAGGGAGGTAATGGGCAGTCTGGATTCCTGGGAGATGTCTTAGAAGTGTCCCCCTCCTCTCTCTAGTGACCTCAGTGATGTCCAGGGCTTATGTGGCTTGTGCCCACTGAGTCCTGACACTCACACAGGAGTTGCTTCTTCTTTTCTCATGAAATTTGTCTTCTGCACAAGCCACAGAGTGACCCATCCTTGTATTTAGCTGCATTAGGATGAAAGCGACGGGTCTTCCCCTGTAATCCAGCCTTCTATGACTTCTTTTGAGACAGGGCCTTGCTGTGTAGTTCAGGCTTGAACTTGTGATCATCCTGCCTCAGCCTCCTGAATGCTGGGATTATAGAAGTGTGCCACCATGCCCGATCTTCTGTGACATTTGAAAGGAAAGCAAGGAAAGATTCACATCAAATTCACCCAATTATCTACTTTTTCTGATCTAGGGGAGAATATCTGTATGTGAGAGACTGAAAAGGTTTATTCAGAAATGGCAGAAGACACTTGAACTTTTGCCTGGATAGTTTTAAGAGTGCTGAAAAAACGGAACGTATAGCTTGTCCATGCTGAGTCAAGGCTGCCTGCCACCAACTGAGGGCTGAGCCAGACAGGATTTATGTGGGGACTCCCAGCAGCAGCGCAGAGTCCACTCCAGAGTCCTCCAGACTTGGACTCCTTAGCAGGCCAGATCAGTATTTGTCGTTGTGGGTCAGGTTGTAAAAACCTGGGAGCAGAGGCATTTCATGCTGCTACAGGTAAGGTTGTGTGTCGCTGTTAGGAAAGATGACAAGTCAGAATGGGGAAGATGTCTTCTTAAAAGTTTTCAGGCATAATTATGCAAATATGAGATTGTTCAACATTTATATATGAGACATTTGCCTTTTTACAGTGCCTGTATCAGAATTAGCCAGTATTGAGGCTATTGATTCAAACTGTCCTTTCCTTCGGAGTGAGGAAGTATATTTACTTCCTGGGACAGATGTGTCATGCAGGAATCAGGAAGGATTGTTTCTCCAATTTTTTTTTTTTTTTTTTTGGTGGTGGTGGCGGTGGCGGTGGCGGTGGCGATGGCGATTGAACCCAGGGCTCTAAGAACCAGGCATATGCTCTACCTCTGAGCTGTGTCTCCAGCCCTCTTGAAAAAGTCCCAATGCCCAGAGTTAAAGTGTCCGCCTTTTAAGCTGAGGATGGAACTTCACTCAGCACTGAGGCACAGGGATGAGCTTAGAGACCTGCCATGAGCTGTCCAAGTCCAGCTACTCACATCCAGTGTAACGGGGTGCTTTGGGTGCACCCCACATAGTTAGCCTAAATGGTAGCTATTTTCTTAAAAATCATCTGTCATTCATGAAACTTGGTTTCAGCATTCAGTTGCTTTTCCCTCTCTCATGAGTAGGCATAAACCTTTGTTTAGCTCAAGTCCTGGATTAGAAAGTCTTGTCCTGATGTTGGCAGCAATTGCTTCCTTGTAGCAGACATTTTTGAAGTACACTTTGGGTGGTTGATGAGAGAGAAAAGTGCCGCTTCCCCGGCTGTAGCTTGGCCCTGAACGTGGCTGCACGCCGAGGAGGCAGACTGTGCACAGATGAAAAGCTGTTGGTGACGGACCTTCAGGATGCCCCGGCCTCTCCCTGGCAGCCTTAGCAGGTTGTGCCTGCTGCTTTCTGGTGGTCTTTCCTTTTGTTGAATTTATAGCAATGAATGTAGATGGATTTATCTTTTAGTTTTCTCAACAATTGTAGAAAATCAACTTTTAGTTGGACAACTTTTTAAGGAAGGGAAAAGAAGCAGCTGCTGTCGAAATCGCATCACATTTTCAACGTGGCATTGTATTTTCTACTTAGTAGGAGTAGGAGTAACATGGTCATTTTGAATTTATAGTTGAAACAAAATAACAGAACTAACTGGGACACGGCCAGCTAACTGGGACATGGCCAGCGCTTGCCTAATCTGAGATGGTCTGTAGTTTTAAGGTTCACTGCTTCTCTGGTTAGGAGTGATAGGGGAATCTGGGGTGGTCATGACCCTTCAGAAAGTTAATAGTATGAATGATAAAACCAGTTACCTGCTCTGCATAGTCTTAAGAAATCAAGTTAATCAGCTGTCGTAAAGCACATAGTTGTGTGCTAGGCACTGCTCCTGACCTACAGAAAAAGACCTAGGGAATACCGTTGAGAAGTGCTAATTATATTTGGGTGTTTCAAAAATAGACCTAGACAAGTTGTTCACTATGGTACTTGTTGGTCAGAAAATAATTTATTTAAAGATTATGATCATGTATCACAGTACTCAACCCTCCTAGCAAAGTATTTTTTTGAAGAATAAACTAAATGCCTTTATAAACTTGTGTGCTCTTGTGTTCAATTCCATACATAGACCATTTGGTATGATGTATTTTTTCCTGGTGACAAGAGTCACGGAGCAGCTCATTTAGGACTGTGACTATACAGGGACTAAGCAGCTGCCCTTAGGATGGCATTGTACAACAGTAGTATCTGGCGTGGCAGAAATGTTCTGCATTTGCACTTACTACACAGCCCCTGACCATGTGTCTGTGTCGGAGCACTTTGTATTATGTGAGTGCAAAGGTGTACGTTGTTTTTCTTAAATAACCAGAGAGTGGCAACGATATTGGTGGCAAAACTCATTAAAATCTCATTTTATACTTTTAATCTTTCAGAACTCAGTAATTCTACAGATTACATTGTCCAGATCTGATGCTTTACCTACTCCAATATTCCCCAGTCTTAACTAAGACACATCTCTGTGTGTACTTTCTCTGAATAAAGCAGGAAAGAAGTCAGATACTGCTCCTGAGAGAAACAGGGATGAGGGTACAACAAATGGAGTCATGTTTAGTGTCCTCAAGCCCAGTTAAGAAACTTGAGGTCCCCTAAGTCAGCCCTTCACTCTCCTCCAGTAATCCACCATGTATGTGTTCTAAAAACTTAACTCATTTGTGAATGGTTGCTTAGTGCATCATTTGTCACTTTCACAGGATCATGCTGTCTCTTCAGGTGAAGCTGTAAATGTTACAAATGTCAAACTGAGACAGATACATAGTTCTGCACATTACTATAGACTCTTACCCAGATTCATTTACAGTCTTAAGGACAGATCTTTATAGGTGAGGAATAGACAGGACAGCAGAGACAGTAAGTTGGTCCAACTTTATTGTAATCTGTTACAAAAGACAGTTTAAATAAGAACCAGTATCTTTGGTTTTTAAGGCCTTTAGAAATCTGAGTTATATATCACTACAGAAGAATATAAATTACATTAGTTCAAATTATAAAATAAAAATGTTTACAAATGAATAGTGTATCATCATTAAATGTTTGTAAATGGTTTATGCCTACTTCACAACTGTTAACAGCTTTTTAAAAAACTCCAATAACCAGTTTGGAATTGAATGAGAAAACCCCACTTCATTCTGACA